TGCCACTTGTCATATAGATAAATGAGAGCTGAACGCCTGAAATGTGGTTTTGTTCTTGTCAAGGGCTTGCGTTTCAACATTCGGTTTTAGTTATCTGCCTTCAATAAGGGTTATAATGTGAGTTTAAAATTCAGTACACACGCGTATATGTATATGCAATACATAGGTGTGTGCGTGTGTGTGTGTAAATGGATAGATAGATATGTATGCATATATGTATACATACATATATATATATATATATATATATATATATATATATATATATATATATATAGACACACACACACACACACACACACACACACACACACACACACACACATATATATATATATATATATATATATATATATATATATATATATATATATATATATATATGTATATATATATATATATATATATATATATAATATATATATATATATATATATATACATTATATATATATACATATATATATATATATATATATATATATATATATATATGTGTGTGTGTGTGTGTGTGTGTGTGTGTGTGTGTGTGTGTGTGTGTGTGTGTGTGTGTGTATATATATATATATATATATATATATATATATATATATATATATATATATATATATACATACATATATATATATATATATATATATATATATATATATATATATATATAGAGAGAAGAGAGAGAGAGAGAGAGATATGAGAGAGAGAGAGAGAGAGAGAGAGAGAGAGAGAGAGAGAGAGAGAGAGAGAGAGAGAGAGAGAGATACCTATATGTATGTATGTATATACATAAATACATTTATATACATGTTCATTCATTAATTTACTTTTCTATTTATCTATGCATTTGTATTCATAAGCATTTGTATTTATGTATATATGCCTATCCATATACATAAACACGTACAGTGCATATATATATATGCATAAATATTTTTCTTTTCTTTTCTTCCTTCCCTTCCTCCTCCTCGTTCCCTCCCTTCCATTCCTTCTTCACCTCCTCATCCCGTTCTTCCTCCCCCTCCTCCTCCTCTTTCGCCTTCTTCCTCCCCCTCCTCCATCTCTACCTCCTTCTCCTTCCTCTTCTACTTAACGAACTGCGTAGATTATCATCACCAAAAACTAGCCAACGTATCATCCTTAACTCTCTATATATCCTACTCGAACCTCCTACCTACGGCATTACACGATCAAACCCTATAATGAGAAACAACAGCGATCGTCCTTTTTCACTTTCTCCAGCAAATCCGGCACCTTATGGAAACAAATGACGATCTCGCCCCGCAGTGATATCAAAGGCATCCCAAACGATCAGTTTAATCGTTATCGAGATTCAGAGTTAATGGAAACGGGTTGGGACGAGTTGGAGCCATGGCATCAGCGTGGCAGTGAAGGCAAAATGTCGATTGCTTAACACGGGTTTAGTCTTTCTCTCTGTGGCTGTTATTTGGTTGACGGGGCAGGCGTATGAGGAAGAAGAAGAAGAGAGAAGAAGCTAAAGGAGGAAAAAGGAGGATGGAATGGAAAGCAACAGGGGAGGAAATGGGGAAGAGGAGGAAGGGGAGCAAAACCTAGAAAAAAGAGGAATAGGAAAAATAAAGGATAAGTTAAAAGCGGAAGAGAAAGAAGGAAGCGGACTCTGGAACTAGAAAAGAGGAAAAAGAAGGAAGCGAAAACAAGAAAAGGGGGAAGAAGAGAGAAGCAAAAAGAGGAAAAGGAGGAAAGAAGTTAAAAGTGGAAAAGAGAAAAAAAGAGAGACAGGAAGAAACGAAGGAAAAACTAAAAGAGGAAGACTAGAAAGAAGTGAGAAACTAAAAGAGAAAAAAAAATGAGGAAGGAAGGAGCAAAGAGGAAGAAAAGCGAGATCCAACATAGAAAGACAAGCACAAAGAAACAAAAGAAAGAGACACAGGAGAAGCAATAAAGCGAAGGAAGAGGAGAAAAGGACGATAATGCTCCCAGCGAACTCTCCACACTCCCTCCACTTCTAAAGCACAAGAGAGAGAGAGAGAAGAGACGTGACGAAGTGACTTTCATCTCACCACAAAAGGAACGAAAGAGGGAAAAGCGACAATGAAGAAGACAAAAAACGCCCTCGAGAGAATCTTGTCAATTGCCGCCCAAGCTGGACAATGGGCGTTTGCGGGCGCGGGGATGTGAGACGGCGGGTGCGTGGGCGGCCCATGTTGGGGCTTTTGCATGTGGGATTGTCGGTTTATATGTATGTATGTATGTGTATGTGTATGTAAATATAGATAGATAGATATATTCAGTATGTGTATTTAAAATATATAGATAGATAGATAGATAAATAGATATGTCAGTATGTGTATTTAAATATATAGATACATAGATAAATAGATATATGTAAGTACGGATGTATATAGATAGATAGATAGATAGATAGATGCAAGTATGTATGTATGCGTATGAAATCTGGTTCCTGTAGTTTCTATAAAAATGGATATATTAAAATCACAAAGTTTAACACTCATGGCGTTTTTTCCGGATGTTTTATAGCGGCGAAATTTGCCGAAAGTTCCAGAATTTCAGCAGTCTAATCACCAGCGTCTGATAAAAATACGAGGCGGCAATATTCTCTCTCTCTCTTCTCTTTCTCTTTCTTTTCTCTCTCTTTTTTTCTCTTTCTTTCTCTCTCTCTCTCTCTCTCTCTCTCTCTCTCTCTCTCTCTCTCTCTCTCTCTCTCTCTCTCTCTCTCTCTCTCTCTCTCTCTCTCTCTCTCTCTCTCTCTCTCTCTCTCTCTCTCTCTCTCTCTCTCTCTCTCTCTCTTTCTTTCTCTAGGAAAGGGTTGGCTGAAAATTCTGAAATGACCGTCAGGTGTTTTATTTCATTCTCTTGCTTAGTGTTTGCCTTTCTATCGTTATCATTATTTTTTTCATCACTTTTAATCGTGGTTTATCAATGACCTGTTTCATTAATGGTGTGTTTTTATTTGTTATGCCTTGATTGTTGTTTTTTTTTTCATATTTCTTTTAGTCATGCTTCGGACCGCGTCATTCAATCCTACTTTATTTTCTTCCTCTTCTTTTTCCTCTCTCTCTCTCTCTCTCTCTCTCTCTCTCTCTCTCTCTCTCTCTCTCTCTCTCTCTCTCTCTCTCTCTCTCTCTCTCTCTTCATTCTTTACGCGAACGACTCATTAAGACACACCATCGTTCATTTTCTCTTTCTTTTTTTCTTTCTTTTACTCTCTTCCTAAAATCAACAGAGGCAAGAACAGACATCATTACCTGAAATAATTACTCGCTGAAAAAAGTATATAGTTAAGTACAGTCTTCTTTTTTTCTTTTTTCTTTTTTCTTTTTTAACAAAATCATCAACAGTGACTCAAAATGGCGAGTGTCGAAGTTCTGATTCCCGAAACAGATGTTCACCAGACACAGATTTTCATTTCGTGCTGTTATTGCTGTTATTTTGACTTTGGTCTTCGGTATATTACTTTAAAATGCTAATTATATGACTATTATAGATCACATAACAATGTTTCGTTTTTTATTGGTACAAAAGATGAACCACAGCGAATCGAAATCGGTAAATATGAAAAAGTGTGGGACGAGATTCGAAGCACCAGGTTTCGAAGCAGAGCCCCATCTGACTTTCTATTTATTTCTTGTTGTTGTTGTCTTGTTTTTGTTTTTCGATTTTACTTGGGAAAATGTATCATAAAAGTACTGGCACGACTCCATGGCTAAAATTACCCAACACTGAAATATATAAGAAGCAAAGGACTTAGAACGGATACCCATCAGATTTTATTCTATTTCGTATTGCTGTTAACTGTTTAATCTATTCATCTATTCATCTATCTATCTATTAATCTCAGAAAAAAAAAATGTATTAGAGAACGAGGCATACTATTTCGCTCTTCATTTCTACCTCACCAAAATTACCCACAGAATCATTCGAAGCAAAGGACATGAAGCAGATCCCATCAACATATGTCTTTGATGACCAGATTGCCAATTACATGTTCTTGTGCAAAAGTACGCGCGGTTTCTGCGTGGGATGAAAGGTGCTCTTGAAATCGCCTCATGTTTACTAATACCCTGGAAGTGATATATAATTAAGAGCAAATATCTTTTTTGACTTACGTATGACTGCAACTAATTACTGCCCATGAATATTGATGTGTGTGGTTGTGTTTCCGTTTGTGTGTTTGCATATGAATGATACATATTCGTGGGTTAAAGGAGGACGATTTTCCCTTCATAGCCAAAGAACGATACTTTATCATATCATGTAGACAGTGTAATAACATTTGTTGAGCATATGTGTAATAACACCAATAGATAAATAGATATGTGTGTGCATATATACGCATATTTATTCATATATGGGTATGTGTATGTGTGTTGTGTGTGTGTGTGTGTGTGTGTGTGTGTGTGTGTGTATATATATATATAATATATATATATATTATATATATATATATATATATATATATATATATATATATTATATATATATATATATATATATATATATATATATATATATATATATATATATATATATATATATATATATATATATATATATATATATATATATATATATATATATATATATATATATATATATATATCTCACATATATATATATATATATATATATATATATATATATATATATATATATATATGTATGTATGTATGTATTTATATACATATATATACATATACATATGTACATATATATATAATATATATATAACATATACATATATGTATATATATATGATATATATATATATATATATATATATATATATATATATGTATATATATATATATCTCTCTCTATATATATATATAGATAGATAGATATAGATATAATATATATATACATAAACAAGGGACAAGTGTACTACAAGTAGGTTTTTAATGCTCTTGTTAATTGAACGACAATTAGCATTTGTTTAATTCCAAAACAAGCATGCAATTTTTTACGGATAAAATAAATGGTTATGAAATATATTAGCACCTCCATTTTATTAATGTCGTATCGGATGAAATTCCGGAAGTATTTTTCATTTCAAATTCACGTCCAAAGAGATCTCTTATCTGCGCGAGAGAGGAAGAGAAGGGAGATCCACAGGACTCGCGGATCGAGAGAAGGAACTCAAACGCGTTCGCTTCCTTCTTCTCGAGGGCAGCGGCGGCGAGGCTACTGCAGCTGGGCCTTGTTGAATTCCCTGAGGAGGGTCTTCCCGTCGATGGGGCACTTGCTGTACTCGTCGGCGCAGAGGCGGAGGTCCCCTTTGGCGCCGACGGAGGCCGCGCGGACGAACAGGCTCTGGGCGGACCCTGCTTCGGGGGCGTGGCCGGAGGCGAAGGCGTCTCTGAAGAGCCTCTCGTCCTCCGACAGGTCGGCCTCGTCTCGGGCGGACACCTCGCACACGAACCGCTGGACGCAGCCCAGCTTGTCGGAGTTGGCGGCCAGCGTGAAGTAGAGCTCTGTGTCGGCGACGGGCAGGCACTGCACCAGGTCTCGCTTGCCCCGGGAGCGCCCGCGAGAGGCGATGGCGCTGCCCAAGACGGCGCCGCCCACTGCGCTCAGCTTGAGGGCGGCCAGGGCGGCGGCGCTGCTCGAAAGCGCCACGGAGCCCGTGGTCACAAGGAGAGTGCCGGCGGCCGAGGGCAGCGCGGTCGCCAGAAGGAGCGCGGCGGTTGCGAGGGTCAGCTGCATCCTGCAGGATATGGAAGGAGGGAGCTGAAGGTGAAAGTCTCAGAGATTTTAGTCTATACTACTAAAGATCACGATATCATTGTGTAGAAGAAAGATCATAAGATAAAACGTTTCATCATCATCTGGGAGCTAACGCCGACAGGGGTGCATGGCCGCATCCACCCTTCGCTTTCACCTATGAGGATCCCTCATGTCAAGCCGCCAGGCAGGAACTCGGCCTATCTCGAGCTCCTCAGGTTTGATCGATCTGCCCAAGCCACGATTTCCTTGGTCGTCCAACAGGTCTCCTCCACCCAGGGCTGTCTCGAACGGAGACAACCTGATGGGCAGAAGCATCCTGTGGGGTGAGCCAGGTGGCTGTATAGCCTGAGTTGACGATTACGGATTGTGCAGGTAACAGGTCCTTTGCCAGTCTCCCGGTGCAACCGTTGGTTGGACACGTGGTCCCGCCAACAGTACCTCAGGATCCGGTTGCAAGGACCTATTACAAAAAGCATCGAGACGAGACCAATGCACAAGATAATGTCCAGATTTCACTACCATATAGCAAAACTGGCATTATCAGGGCCTTGAGGACACGTAGCTTGGTCCTTCTGCACAGGTACCGGCATCTCCAAATACGCTTGTCGAAAGAGTTCATGACCCCTGCTGCCAGGCCAATCCGTCCAAAGACTCGGATAGAAACAACACCATCGGAAAAGTCAAGGTCTGTAACCTTGAGGTTGCCCAGAGGTGCTCCACAAAGACCTAGAACAGTAGCTCTGTCCAATATCCAGTCCATGCGTGTTGAAATGTGTTGGTGCAAGGACACAGTCTTGCTTCACTCCTGACTTAACATGAAAGAAGCTCGAAACTCACGACGGCGCTCTGCAATGACTCGAAGCGCAAGGATACGGTCTATTGTGAATTTACCAGGAGTGAATCCAGATCAGTAGGTGGTTTCTGATACGTCTCAGAAGGATGTGGGCAAGAACCTTGCCTGGTATACCTAGCAGTGTGATGCCTCGGTGATTGCTGCAGTCCCATCGGTCCTCCTTTCCCCTTCTAGAGAGGGATGACCACACCCCTCAACAGGTCAGGGGGAACGGTACCGGACCGCCAGATGGCAGCATGCAACCCCCGCGCCATAGGTTCACCATCAGCCTTTAACAGTTCAGCTGGGATGCCGCAGATACCCGCTGCTTTACCACTCCTCACCTTGAAGATCGCCCTCCTAATTTCAGTTGGGGAGGGTGGATCCTCACTAATGGGTGGGACCGGCAACGGAATCTCGGCACTCCCCGCATCCAAGTTAACTGTTGGTGGGTCAACCTGGTACAACTGCTCAAAATACTCAGCCCAACGTTCCCGCACTGCAACAGGATCTGAGACGATCTGGCCACCTACTAAGCGAACTGATGTCACTTGTGAAGAGGGCTTGGAGTTCAGCTTTCTCGGGGCATGGTATGGCCGAAGGACATTTACTAAGAAATGGCCTTCGACCTCCTAATAAACTGTTCCTTGTCCCTTCCTAATAGTGACCGAGTTCTGCGCACATGAGAACGGTGCAAATCCCGATGATGATTATAATGAATTATGAAAACAAAGACCAAAAAATAAGGATGGAGTAATGATAATAACAATAATAATGATAATGACAATAATAATAATAATAACAATAATAATTATATAACAATAATAATAATAACAATAATAATGATAATAATGATAATTAGAATATTAATAACAAAAACGATGATACTACTAATAATAATAATGTAAACAATGATAAAAATAACAAAAAATAATTAATCCTCAACCT